AGTGAAGTTTGAAGCAGGAAGATGGCTAATTATGCGCTTAGAAGCATTCAGGAGTGCATCGCAAAACGCCGAGTCCTTCTTGGGTATAAACGCCGGACTTTTGGCAACAAATTTCAGTCGCTGCGCCATGAAACTCGGGAAAACTGAGAGTGGCTGATATTCTGGCATGATGTTGTGGGGAGTATGCGAGAGCTTCCACGGTAATATAACTTGTCTCTAGGCTCCTATGTGCTCTTTATGACTTTGGATTATTTTCGAGAGAAAAACTTCGTTGAGATGCTGTAATGGTAGTTTTTTTTAGGCAAGAGGTATCGAGGATAGTACGTATATAATTAAAACAGCGCGAAAGACATAAGGACAAGTAGAAGAAGGGACTCACACTTTTACTACTTGTTCTTGTGTTGTTTGCGATGTTTTCATTATATGTCTGCTATGCACCACCAACTAGCCCACTTCATAACATTACTCCTGTATCTTGATTCAAGTCTACTGATCTTCAACATACTAAGGACCGTGACGGACTCAAAAAAGAAAAACACAAGGTCTAAGTTTTAGTATCGTTTTAGCACGTCGAGTAATACCCAGCTCGCCTGCCTAGTCACGTTGTCTTTATTTGTCTCGTTTATTGTTAACTTGTCAGGCATTTCTTATTACCTTTTTTACGCTCTTCAAAATTTAGTTTGCGCATTGTGTTAAGTTTTCGGCCTATGTCTTAAAACAGGAAATCGCATTGCATCACAATACTTTAAAATCTTTCAACGATTTCTTTTTATTGCGAACGGGCGAGCATTTTTTTTAGGTATCCATTTCACGAATTGACCTAGTGCGCATCGCCCAACTGGATGAATTTTTCTTCTGCAAATTCTCCGTCGACAAAGGGGCTTTCAAAAAATTGTCCGAAACCCCCCAAAAAGCTACCTTCGCACATTATATTCATGAATCTCGCTCCCTCATTAGTCCTGCGTTTTTATCAGCTAATGTCGCAATCTGATTGGCTGGGGAGTGGTAATAGGATGCTCAGGATCCGCCACACCCTATGTTTCTTAAGCTGTCTGTGATTATACCACCATTCAAATATCTTCTTTTGATTTATTCTATCAGGTCTATAAATATAGATGTTAGAGTATATTCTTTTAAAGCAGCGCGACAAAACAAGGACAAAGTAAAGACGAGACAGACGACATCGCAGACTGTCAACTCAAAGTTTATTTCCACAGCTTCCAGTATACACCAACTCATGTTTACAAACGAACCGGAGCGCTCCAAGCGGACGCCACTGACGCCGCGCATGCGCGACTGGGGTGTTGGGAAGAAGCTCGCCGTCGCCCATAAACAAACCATCGGAATGGGATGTTAGGGAGTTTTCGTAGACCGCGCTACCCCCTCCGCTAAGCGTTCCGCAACGAAGAAGTCGCTACTGCGCCTGCGCGCCGATAGCCTTGACTGTGGAGTTCCCGCTATCGTAGCGGATTGCGGAGGGCCTTGCGGGACGGCGAAAACGATCTACGAAAACTCCCTGTTGTCAGCGTCGGTGTGAGTCCCCGCGATCTTTTTCGCGTTGGAATTGTCGATTCTACGTCTTCTTGGCAATATCTGAGTACTTGAGCGGCATCAGCAAAATTAACGAGGCTTGTTACACCGCAAAACTTTGCGTGAATAATGTAACATGCCGCGATTCATTTCGCGTGGACGCCGCAGAGTGGACGCTAAAGCTTGATTCACATGGTGAGGTTCTGCTCGCTATTTTCAGTCATGACGTAGATCGGGCCGCAAAAGCCTGAACCGTAGCTGAGATGTTGACGTCGATACTTAAAATCGCAGAAAGAATCGGATCGAGTGAATCAGGCATAACAAGTCGGTGATGGCCCCCGGTAGCAATTATCAACATTGCCTTTTGTCTACTGTTTACACCGAGCCTACTTACCCGAAGAAACCTTCAAACTTAAACGACTTTTGAGGTCTGCACTTCTTGTCGCAATAACCGGGCCAACGTCAATTGTTGGTAGCCGGAGACTGCGGATGCATCTCCGGCTACCAAAAAGCCAAAATGCTCGAAAGGAACGGTGACAAACTAGCTCGAGAGATAATAGAAGCTTACAAAATAAACAAACTCGGCGACAAAAATATGTCAGCATTCCCTCCGTTGGTCTGTCCGATAAAAACATTTGTTTTCTCACTGGTGCATTTTAGGGACCGATTATGACACAGCACTGTGTAATCTAACTAATAAAATGAGGGGACTGCATGTATTTTGTGTTTTTTTTTTCGCACTTTGTTTATTTGGTTGTTGCCCTTGTGATGCATACTTGAAGCACTGGAAATAAACTTGTCAGCGATGTCGTCTGTCACGTCTTTACTTTTTTCCTATTTTGTCGTCATGTTTTAAACCAAGATGCTCACCAACCAACTACCCCAAACATACCTATTAGGAAAGTTGTTTTACCGTGTTTTTTGAACATGCTTGGACTGACTCCCAAATGCAGTCAGCTGCGAACGATCCGGTACAGTTTCCCAAGCGAACCTTTTCCTTTAAAACGAGCCGTAAAACTCTGCGCCTGCACATTGAACGCTCGCACTTTTACCGAATGTGCACTGAGCAGGTCATTCTCAATGTCGGCAATTTCGAGGTGTAGATATCTTCCTCTAAAAAATTAGATAAAAAAAAAAAACCTTGCCAAACTCAATGTTGGGCACCTTCGCAGACGTCCGAGTTAGCCACGTTATTCAGTTGAAGCGCCATCTTCCGACAGGCGCAGAGGGCAATCGACGCACGCTGTTGCCTACTCGCTGCGCATATAATGAGATGGCGCCACAAGTAGTTAGCGTGGCTAACTACTTGCGAACGCGGCCACCGTCGACTTTGAGAAGTTTTTGCTCTCAAATTTTACTTAAACAGCTCAAAATTTCACGCGGTAAGACTGACCTGCTCAATACACTTTGGGAGAAAGTTCAAGCTTTCTGTGTACACGCGCCGAGTTTTCCGGCTGGTTTTACTGCTTTGAACGCCCAATATTTGGCTAGGAAAAGGATAGACAGTAGCTTGTAGGTTGGGACACCCTCTCACGTGGCTCCCACACAAACATTTCAAGTATCTCTTCCAGTGGGTCTTGTGTTGGAGTAACGCAGACGAAGTTTGTCCAGAACAAAATATGGGTGATTCTCACCGGGGCGAGTAGGGGGGGGGGGGGGGGGGGGGTTGTTTTTAAGCAATGAAATGCTTTTTAACTCTACCATTCAATCCCAAAAGTTTGTCTGTCCGGTCGTTCATCCACACGCCTGTGCAGTTCAAACTAAATTTAGCGGGGAAATTGATGTCACGGGACATATACAGAAATTCAGTTTCCATGCTAAAATTAGCGGTAGAAGCGACGTCCCGTGACCTATAAACCAGTTCAACTTCCCCGCTAAATTTGGCTGGAAAACTGATGTTCAGTGACCTCTCGTCACGTGATTTACGTATCAATTTATTTCTCCAGTTAAATGTGGTAGGAAAATTTTCGTCACGTGACCGGACGTCAAGTGACCTATACACAAATTTAGTTTTCCCGCTAAATTTGGCGGGGAAACGGATGTCACGTAATCTGATATCACGTGACCTATAGACCAGCTTGGCTGGAAAATTAAAGTCATGTGACTTGACGTCACGACATTTATAGATATATTTAGTTCCCACGCTACATTTATCAGGTAAATCACGTCACATAAACTATACACCAATTTAGTTTCTCCGCTATATTTGGTGAGAAAAGTGATGTCACGTGACCTCATGTCACGTGACATCTGTTGGCTAGAAAATTGCTGCGAGGTTACCTAACGTCATCTGACCGGTACGCCACTTCAGCTTCCCTGCTAAACTTGGAGGGGAAATCGATGTTAAGGGACCTGACGTCAAGTGAAATATACACCCGTTTAGTTCCCACGCTAAACTTAGCGGCAAAATTGAGGTGCGTGACCCGACGTCAGCTGAACTTTATATATATATATCTATATATTCCTAGGAAAGAAGACGACGTGGCGCGAGTGCCGCGCTCGGCGGTCTGCCTCGGAGCACCCGCGCGATCCGATTCGGACTTATTTCGTCTGGCTGCGCTGTGGTATTGACCATCATTTGCCATCCATGAATCGTCTCATTAAACCAGCACATCGTCGCCTCACAGGATGGTGGAAGTGCGGAACCATACTCATCTCCTAGATTGAACATCGGCGCCGCTATGATCCTGTCAACCCGCCTCATTAAGGCAGTCATCCGCAGCAGCAGACCAAACACCAGCCCATGGATCCGTCACCTAACCCCCGCCCAGACACCATGACAAGCCGAATCAGACAAAGCCGCATCAGACGAAGCCGGTCTATAACTTAATTCCAAGAAATGTACGTTTGATACCCCGCACCTCCACCATACTGTTAGGGTGATGCTCTCGGCAGCAGAAAGGACAGTACAATACACGACGATAGAACAAACAAAAGATTTATGGAGGACGAGCCGGTCCGCGGGGCCTGGCGCGAGATGGTCGTGCGCGCCACTGTCCCGTCGTCGTCTTCACCTTCCTAACAATATATTGATGCCGCGTGAGGTATACTATACAAGAATGTATATAGTCGTCGAAACAAATTGAAACGATCGCATTTCATGCATTATAGGAATTTGAAGTTAAAGGTCGCTGCCAATTTGTTTTCCCAATCTCCCAGGGGTTATTCTGGGGACATCCCATATTGCCTAATGAGAGTTGCGGAAATGCAGAGGACTAGAAAATTAACTTCAAGGGGAAATAAAAAATTATAAGTTTTCCTTTTAGATTTTAGGGTAGGTGGCGCAAGCTACCGCCCATTAAAAAGACAGCCGTAACGTCCATTCATACAGTATTCCGTAAATATGGACCACGTGACGCTAGCAAGCACTTGATCATATCGTGGCGGTGTCCGGCAATGACAGGAAAAGGGTGATGGAACTCTGGCCGCAGATTTCGAACTGCCTCCAGTGCGTCCGCAGCGCCACTCACCGCTGCTCTCAGTGCCCTGGACGTCGGCGCAGGCCTGGAAGCGGAAGAGGATGTGCCAGTCGGCCGTGCACGAGTCGACCGTCGACACCGGGTTCTTGCAGTCGCCGTGGCCCCGGTTGTACGTGAAGGTGAACGGCCCCCGGAACGGGCAGGCCACGGGCGACGCGTCCACTGCAGCCACGGTTCAGATGTCAGGCAAACACAGCCACGCCTACACTCTTGTACAATACACTACAAAGCCTTTGGAAAAATCCCCTAGGGGCCGAGTTGGCTCCGAAACGTAGGGATCTTTTCTTTTATTAAAGCGTGGTTATAGTTCCAAGTTTAAGTTTTGAAACATCAACAGGTAACTAATTTGTAAAGACTATAATCATTACTAACAATTGCAGTCATATCTTGTTAGTATGGACCCGTTTGAGTTTATTCAAGACAACCTTGTACCGAATTGTCTCAGGGGACATGACTAAAGGCACTTTGACTGCCTGATGGGGTCATGCAGCAGTGTATACAAATATGAAGTACAGCTAAAGTTATCCTACAAGATATGTCATTACAAAAAAGTAAGCAGCAGGTGAAGCAAAAATTCGCTAATAACATATATTCTACATTTTGCTTGAAACATATCTTCAATACAATTTTGCAATATGCTAGTGCACATAACATCTCCAAATTCTCAAAACATCTTGTGGTGGGTTTATTGCTCCATAAATTATATCTATATTATATTTTTCTACTATTTTGGGGTGATTGGGCAGTATTTAGAATATCTAAAATAATGGGGTACTGTTTGACTTGGTCTGGCATCAATAAACGTAACCTGTGGTCTCCATAATTTGTTCGAGAGCGGGTTTTAACTATTAAGTTTTCCCTTAAATTATACCGGCCAACGTTTGTGTGGTAGTACGTGGAAAACAATAATTTGTCTAATTGGAATTTACGCCAAACTGCAAGTGACAGTTTGTATTTGTTTCGATTTCTTGCGTTTAATATACCCTATCTTTTAAAATAAGTGATAACACTTTCAAAAGGTTGTACTTAACCAACTGATCGTAATGCTGGCTTTTTTATGGATAAAAGACAATCTACGTTTGCTTGGGACGTGTTTGACCAAACTAAACCACAGTGACTTTAACGGGATTGTACGAGGGCTGATTAAATTTGATGTTTCCCTTTTTGGGAGATAATATCTTAGCCTGTTTAGAACAGCAACAGCTCGACATTCATTCTTTCTTATGGTATCAATATATGGCGTCCATGATAGTCATATAAAATAAGCTTTAAAGAATCGAATTGTTGATGACTGTTCAATAGAAGAGTCCTGGAATTCTAATTTCAAATCTGAAGGTATCGTCATTCCTTTTTGTTTTAAACACTAGGTACTTTGCTTTACCGACGCTTTAGTAGAGCTTATTTCATTTAAGCCACGAGTCTAAACACGAGGACCAATTTTTTCCCCTGAAATATGGGTATGCCACTGTATGTACCAAATTGTCGGGGACAAGCCTGGTAAGAATGCGCATTTTGTCTCGTTAAAATGAATGACTAAAATTCTGGGCCATTTTGCGGCAGAACAGAGATGTCCATGATAACGCGACCTGGCTGACATATCACTTTCCAAGGCCGGCCTCCGAAATCTTCTATAGGATAACTAACTCTCTTTAACTTCATAAACGACTTCCGTGTTTATCTGACTATAGTCCTCGCCCGGTATATTTAACCGCAGGATCTAATTGACGCTAAAATTGTGTTTTATACCTACTCCACCTTTGGTACATAGCCCGCATTCAATGCATAGTCCATACCCCATGCATATTCAGCATTAGAAGAACATTCTTCTACACAGCACCCTTCGAAAAACTCCCGCTTCAATATATCACGAAAAAAAAAGCTTACATCACGTGGAAATCTTTGTTAACATTAACTGTCATTTACGAAATTTCTCATGTTTCGCCATAACAAAACAATCTTGAAAAACCAAACCCTTAAGTAAGCACGCCTAGGTACTCGGCGTGAAATCTCAACTTTTTTACGTGGTTTATTGCCCGAAAAATACGCGATACGGCACAGGAAAGAAGGATCCTCTTTCTGCGCAATTTCGTGGGATGAGGCAATCTGCAACGGGAGAAAAAACGGTATCTGGGAGAACCGCAGAGGTACATCGTGGATATTCACAACTTAGCATGAGGCAACGCTTCCTAGTGTGATAGATTCGCGGGAGAAGAACGAGGATCTACAGACTAAGTGTGCAGCAAAAAGCAGACGCGCCCTGCGGTCGAAAAGTGAAATGAAAAAGAAATTGGAACGGAGTGCGCTGCGTTATTTTGGAGCTTCCGATAGCTTAAACCAGCCGTGTGGAGATAGGAAAAATACGCAATTTATCATTTCAATCCTCGCAAACTGTACGCCATCATTCATGATATTTTGATTTTGAATGGGGTGCTCTGCACCGTTCCTCTTTAACTTTAACCACTGCCGACAATACCATTGGATGAGAGGAAATAAAGCGGCGCAAAAGGTGCTTCGTCACGCGGCTCGATGTCTTCGTCGGTTTGCCATCACCTGATAAACAAATGACGCGCATATAAAAAATCAGAATTGCAGCGCAAAAAAAAAACGAACCAAGAAAGGGTTGTTGAAAATACAAGCATCAAAAAGAGAAAGTAAAACACTTGAACACAAGGACAAGCGCCACAGTTGAACTAGCAACGAACAATTACAGATATCTCTCTTTTCATACGTGCATTCTTGCTCCCAACTTACTAAACTGAAGAACATACATTAAAAAAAAACATTTGGAAGAGAAAGCTAACCCCGAAATAAAGGAATGGGAAAAGGAGACAAAAGCAGCTAAAAGAAAATAAAAAAAGGAAGCAGCCAGTTCACTTACGCAACCCGTAAGGTGAAACACCGCGACAGCTTAGGTGGGACGTCGAAGCCGCTAAGGTGTCATTCCCGAACAAATGGACTGAATGAACGTTAAAGGTGCGAGCGCGCACCATAGAGTCCGCGTAGGCGTTTGCCTATTAAACCAAGTAACACACCGGGCGAAACTTTTATAGCGTTTAGAAAGCAATGAGAGCACAGGCTATCCCCGAAACGATATTAAACGCTATTTTATTTCACCGCAAAAGCAAACTACGCACCGGCGAACGCTCATTCTCCACCCAGACGTATCGCTAGTGGTCCGTACCAGACGCCAAACCTACAGCAGTAACGGTTATCTTATTCAACAGATATGGGATTTCCTAAAAATTCCAATGAGAAAATGGCGGCTGACGGAGCCCCCGAATACATGGAGATCTGTGGCGCCAGAAACCGAACACGGGCGAAAATGTGCACCATTTTCCCATTGAAATTTTCAGCAAATCACTATAACTTTTGAATAAGAGTTAAATTCAAGTTAACTTTGAGTAAGCTCGTGCTGAAACTTTGGCATCGGGTTCCGACATCTAGTGCTACATTTGGGGGAGACTGAGTCTTGACGTTGCATATCTTATTTTCAAGCTTAAAAGAACACTGTAATTCTTTTGGGTGTGGTTACCCCGCACATTAAGTTGAGAGCATTTTGTGAACCTGTAAAACAATTTTATTGGACGCAAAATGGACCGCCTTGTGCTAATTGAAGAAGACTTGAAAAATCGCACACCCAAGTTTGAAATCTAGGGAACGACAAAACTGCATGCGTATGCATAAGCCGTTCCCTGTTGTTGGTGTGGCTGCCTGAAGGTCTTACGCAGTCTAATTGGACACAATCTAGCACCTCCTTATGGTCACTGAAGAAAATGTCTAAAAGTGCACGCTGAAGCTTCAAGCGTGTAGCTCCACGTAATTTCATGCCCGTGATTTCGGCGGCTTAACATAAGACTTGTGCCTATCTTAAATACTCTACTCAAGATACTGTATTTGAAATACTTTTGGTGGTATTTTGGTGTCTGGCAAATAGATTTAGCCAAGAGTATTTTCTACTCTATCTTAATTATTTTTCTGACTATCTTGTACTGAGCATCTCAAATACATTATGCAACTTTGAAAAAAAATTCGCCGGAACATTCTACGGAACTATGGATCATCAGACTCCAGGATAAAACTGAACCGATTGCAAACTTGAAGCCCAGTAACCGAACATAAACAGGAAACAGGGCGTGACGAAAACAGTCCCCAAATGCCAGCAAAAAAAAAACGAAAACAAATGAACAGCTTCAAGTACGCCCGCCTTTATGTGTCTTCTTCTCCTCTTGTCGACTTTCTTCTTTTTTCAAACTGTCTTTGCTTGGAGCTAGCAAAGTACTGTTGAAGTTATTCTGATTTGACAGTTAGACCCTGCCTTTTGTCTGGAGCTAGAGTGGTTTCGTCAGCGTAGGACTGTAACGGCAATGATTACGATGAACCAGTTTCGAAATTCGCAGATTCAGGGATATGAAAACGTGCGAACACGTTTACATGCGAGCACAGACATTCCCTCGGCCAAAAAGCTACATCCAGATGGCTTCATTGAGCTGCAGTGACCTAGATTGGGCTTGCCCAAACCTCGTTGTATGCCCATTGTGACTTAACTTTTGCTCCATAGCTCGTTCAAAAGCGTTTAGTGCATCTCCTTCCAAATGCGCGCATTGATTCACCCTCAAATTCTTCGAAACCAGTTTCCCGCCACGTGGAGTCATTTATGAACTAGTGCACTGGTTTTCAACCATTGAGGTTTCGCGGGACCCTTCTGGATAAGCAAGATGATGGAGGGCCACGCTCGTATTTAGCGGAAGGGAAAGGTATAGGTTAATTATGATAATTATTTAATTAATTGATAGAACTATGGGCTAGTGGGAAGTGACATTCACACGAGAAAGCTCACCCCAGAAATTAGAACAATTTATTTTCAATCTGAAAGAAGACACCCTTTATTACCGGGCTTGACTTATGAGGCTGGGTTTTGCGGACCCCTAGAATGCCTTCGCGCACTCCGATTAAAAACTACTGAAATAGTGGATTCTGATTCTGGAATCTTGACCATCTTGGCCTTCACTGTGTCAAGAATGGTTTCAACTGGGGCAGAGGGGGCAGGGGAAAGGGGTTTAGAAGCGGTTTTGTGGACACTCTTTTGTGTTTGTTGTGTTTCCCTCTTGACCTTCTTATTATTATTATTTTTAGCAGTTTGAAGGTGTAAGGGTTCTTTCTTA